CGAAAATACTCCCGAGCCCTCGGGGCTCCTAGCCAATCACACACACTAACTCCATAGCATCCTACGAACTTGCTCGAGCGATCAAATCTCTAAAATAACATCAAAATAAAAGAATCAAACCCCAAAACTCAAAATTTTCCATTTCAAAGTTCATAAGCCTTAACTTTAGATATTTAGGTCCGAAACACGTCAAACGACGTCCGATTTCGACCAAATTTCACAGGAAGCGCTTAACGCATATTTAAGACCTGTACCGGGCGTCGGAACCAAAATACAAGCCCGATACCTATATTTTCTAACTCATTTTCATTTCCATTTTTCCTTTATAATTTCAGAAAACAATTTAACAGAAAAATTCTTTTACCGGGGTTCTGGACCTCGGATTTCGACTCCGGGCACATGCCCGAGTCCCATATTTTCCTACGGACCTCCCGGGACCGTCTTATCACCGGTCCGGGTCCGTTTACCAAAAATATTGACCAAAGTCAACTATATCAATATTAATATCATAATTCTTCAAATTTTTTCACAGAATTCATATATTTTAACATATAAATTTTCCGGCTTCGCGCCCGGACTGCGCACGCAAATCGAGGCAACCAAAAGTGAGGTTTCCAAGGCCTCGGAAGCGCGGAGAAAGGGAGAAATACGGTGATGACCCTTTGGGTCGTCACAGGATTCAAGCCTAAATTAAACTAAAACTTTCAAAACTTGCATTTGACCAAAAACCTGACCCAACGACGTCCGAGCGACCTGAAAATTTGCAGACATATCCAACATCACCTAATGAAGCTACGAAACTCTCGGAATTCCATTCCGACCCTCTGATCAAAATCTCACCTACCAACCGGAATTCACCAAAATTCAACCTTAGCCAATTCAAGCCTAATTCTACACCTGACCTCCAAATTGAATTCCGACTTCACTCCTAAGTCACAAATCATCCCCCGAAGCTACCCGCACCAACGGAACTCACATCCGAGCCTTCTAACTACATAGTCAACTTTCGGTTGACTTTTTCCAAAGCAAGCTTCCTTCAAAAAGGCTAAGTGTCATATTTCCAACTAGAACCAATCCAATTCTACCCGATCAACTCAAATACTGATATTAAATCATGGAGGGACATAATATGAGGGAAACGGGGCGGTAACTCACATGACGACGGGCCGGGTCGTCACAAATACCTTAAGATTCGGTGTTTGTTCTCTAGTTTCATCAACCTTTCTCCTTTTGTTGTGCTTCAGAGAATCGGATAGTATATGCTCAAATACATCATCTACATCTTTTTCCAATTTTTTCTCCTTAAACTTTCTTATCCTTTTATGCTTCTTTGTATCCAATACAACAACATTTTCTTTTGCAACTCGATTAAAATTTTTTGGAGTGAAATCTGGCACATAATCCTCCGCCTCTCAATTATTTTCTCAAATGAACACTCTGTTCGCAACCGCCTCTGGTTCGCATTCCTTGCAGGAGTATCTTGCAACAACTCAAAAGTAGGATGAGTAAGAGATATGACATTCTTATCACTGTCTGATGTAGAATCAGAGTAGGTATCCCTAATAGCCTTTACAGCCGAGACATTCATTTTCGAACAACTACCCCAATTGTTCTTCGATTCTGTCTTCAGTTCTTGTTTTAACTTTGCCATTGTTGCAGATTTTATGGAAAAACAGTTGGAAAGCCTAATAGAAATAATACAAAATAGATATATAACTCAAATATATATACATATCATTTCTACGGATTGTGGATGTTATTTGGAGGGATTGATTGAGCAAATGGATGAAATCATGGACGAAATCTCCGTAAAATATTCTTCAAAATTAAGCGAAATCTCAAACAATTGAGCGAATGGATAAGAAGAGTGGAGCGAAATCTTTGTGAATTTTTGGAATAATTGAGCAAAATCTCCGTGATTTTTCTGAACAACTGGGCGAATTCCGAACATTCATATTATGGTACCATGGAAAAATTCCAAATTTCACGGCAAAAGGCAGAAAGTCTCTGTGATTTACTATTGTGGATAGATTGAGAGAAATATTCATGCCTAATTTAGTGTATATTTTGATAGATTGAGTGATCGGAGGAAAGAAGATGCTAGAAGGAGATACTATGAAGAGAGAGTGCATCTGATTTCTTTTACGATGAGAGAGAATGTGAAATTGCACAGATCCCATGATTTGTGCCTTTTGCTATGGTAATTAATTATTTGGTTATTTTTATGATATGCTCTAAATATAAAAAAATATTCCCTTTATGTAATAAATAAAGATTGCTAGCATTTTCTTAAATATTTTTTAAAAAGTGACCTGCCATGTATATTTCTCTAAGTAAAATCGGCTCTTCTTTGTATGTTGGTCTNCTGAATATCCAAAGCAAGCGGTCTCTGGCTGACCGGAATATAGGCAAGACTACCCATGCTGGCTGACTTCCTGCTCAATGCATCTGCCACCACATTGGCTCTCCCCGGGTGGTACAATATAGTAACATCATAATCCTTCAATAGCTCCAACCACCTCCGCTGCCTCAAGTTCAACTCTTTCTGCTTGAACAAATATTACAGACTCTTGTGATCCGTGTACACCTCGCACGTCACACCATACAAGTAATGCCTCCAAATCTTCAAGGCATGAACTATGGCTGCCAACTCTAGATCATGGACTGGGTAATTCTTCTCGTGAATCTTCAACTGCCTCGAAGCATAAGCTATGACCTTGCCATCCTGCATCAATACTGCGCCAAGCCCAACACGAGAAGCATCACAATAAACTGTATAAGGCCCTGAACCTGTGGGCAAAACCAATATCGTTGCCGTAGTCAGAGCTGTCTTGAGCTTCTGAAATCTCTCCTCGCACTCGTCTGACCACCTGAATTGGGCACCCTTCTGGGTCAAAACTACCCCGAACACCTCTGAAAACACTCCCGAGCCCTCGGGGCTCCTAACCAATCACACACACTAACTCTATAGCATCCTACGAACTTGCTCGAGCGATCAGATCGCTAAAATAACATCAAAATAAAAGAATCAAACCCCAAAACTCATAATTTTCCATTTCAAAGTTCATAAGCCTTAACTTTAGATATTTAGGTCCAAAACACGTCAAACGACATCCGATTTCGACCAAATTTCACAGGAAGCGTTTAACGCATATTTAAGACCTGTACCGGGTGTCGGAACCAAAATACGAGCCCGATACCTATATTTTCTAACTCATTTTCATTTCCATTTTTCCTTTATAATTTCAGAAAACAATTTAACAGAAAAATTCTTTTACCGGGGTTCTGGACCTCGGATTTCGACTCCGGGCACATGTCCGAGTCCCATATTTTTCTACGGACCTCCCGGGACCGTCACATCACCGGTCCGGTTCCGTTTACCAAAATTGTTGACCAAAGTCAACTATATCAATATTAATATCATAATTCTTCAAATTTTTCACAGAATTCATATATTTTAACATATAAATTTTCTGGTTTCGCGCCCGGACTGCGCACGCAAATCGAGGCAACCAAAAGTGAGGTTTCCAAGGCCTCGAAAGCGCGGAGAAAGGGAGAAATACAGTAATGACCCTTTGGGTCGTCACATTTTAATAATATATAGATATAGATTAAGGAACGAGCTAATTTATGGCATTTTGGAAAACGTAGCACTTGGTAGATTCACATAAAATTGGAATCATTACATTACACTTTATGCAAGCTTATATAACACTTAGACTTTACATGGTATCACTTTGTTCTTGTATTTACTCTCTTTTGTAAGTACATAGTTGATCTTTCAAGCGTATTTTGTACTCTCCGTTTCTGTCACACCTCCTTTTTTCTACATCCCGTTTCTACACCCCGTAAGGGTATAAGGGAGTTGTTTCTGTCACACCTCCTTTTTTCTACACCCCGTAAGGGTATAAGGGAGTTTTTCCAATTAAAGGACAATCGAAACGAAATTTATTATTAAAAAAATTAGAGTCGTCAATCCGAATCGAGGAAAGGGTTGACTCTGTATTACAGTACGCGAATCAGAAATTTGAGTAAGGAATTCTGTTAACCCAGGAGAAGGTGTTAGGTATTTGCGATCGCTCAACTGTTATAATTGGCATAATTATTTGATTTTAAGAACATTTTGAACCTATGTGCATTTTAACTTTTAATCACATCTATTCATTTTTTTAAAGAAGATTTTAACGTCGTCTAAAATATGTCTTTGGATCACGTCACATGAAATGTACCCGTAATTCGAAACATATTTTATTCAACGTTATAAGGATTTGGATTTGGGTCAAATGAAATGCACACTTGAATTTAGGAAAATAATATTATTAAAGTACACGCCTAAAGCAACTATGCGTTGTTAGAAATTTGCTAAATGGCGCGTCTCGAATTCTACGGTTTATTTAAAAATTAATTAAAATGAGAGCCACGCAATTATTATTTTTTATTCGGTACGGCGCACCTCCAATTATAATCTTAAAGGAGAACTATATTTGGATGGGCCGTAAACTATTTATGCGACTTAACACGGCTCACCTCATTCTAAAGAAAAATAATTATTTTTTTTAACAAGACTTCTAGTCGCCTGAAGGTTGCTTAATGGACTTGATGAAATAAAAAAGAAGGTACTATTTTACTTTTAAAGAAAATTCAAGCCCAAATGATGGGCCCAGCCTGACGAGTCGCGTGCAAAGAGAGTTCTCCGTGATACACATATCGATTCCCCTCAAAAAAATGAAAGCAGATTGCGAATTTTGGGGTTCGAAGTGGGCTTAGCTAGTAATTCTTAAGGTCACTTGCACTAGACCAACTAATGAGGCTGGTAACTTAAGCCTAAGTGGGCTTATGGTCCAAAGTCCACACAAAAACAGCCTGGATCACAAGCTAGGCATCCATATGCATACAAAGAGGACAATGGGCTCGTTTGAAGCCCAAATGAACAAGTGCTACAGTACAGCACTGCCCCTTGTTTTACAGTTGTCTTTACTTTTGCTGACTAGTCCTTTTTTACTTTGGCCTTTCAGATTGTTGAATATGGGAATGCTATCAATGAAGGATTTATCGGGTTAGATATTGGACCACTCACTGTCAGTGAGTTTAGCAAAGAGCTAGATGAAGCAAAAACTATCATTTGGAATGGACCAATGGGAGCGTTCGAGATTGCCAAATTTGCTCGTGGAACAGAGGTATAAATGAAGATCTTGTTTAAGTTTCACCGTAAGTTGTGTGCAGCAGGATAATTTTTCTGGTGTAGTTTGAAGATGTCATAGATAGTTTAGTTTTGTTGGTTGAGATGATGTTTTCCATCTAAAATATTTTTGGCATATATTATCCAGGAAATTGCAAAAAAGTTGGCAAAAGTAGAAGCAATAACAATCATAAAAAATTGGGGCTTGACGAGAAGATGACCCACGTTTCAACGAGCTCCGCAAATTGCTTCAGTTTTGGCGTTTCAGATATCCTCGCTATCTAGTGCAATTCCTGGAGGTTTCTTAAAATAAACCCCTGCAATAAAATCATTTGTCTAATTTTTAGTTGGCGGGCCTTTATTTCCCCTTTCCCTCTCATTTCTTTTTCCCAACCCCCTTTCCCTCTCATTCTACTAAACTCTACATATCTAACCAAACCTTAACTCCCTCTCTTTTTCAATCAAAGTTTTGGGGTTCTCAGAATTCCCCCCATCATGACATTCGTCACCACACAAAAGCTTGATGAAGAAAGGTTTGCAAAACTTTGGAGCGAGAAGCTGAATATTCTCTCTTCTTTCACAGATCCAAATTTCTCTTTTGTTCTGTTTTTGATTCCTACTCATCTCAAGTCAGCCAATGGTTGGTTCTGGTAATTTACTCACTAATTTTTTTTGTTAGTATTATGTTTAATTTGCAGTTTTTATCCGATTTTTGTGTGTGCGTGTGTGTGACGACCCGACCCGTCGTCAGGTGAGTTACCGTCCCGTTTTTCCCGTTAAATGCTCATTCATATTTCAATATGTGTATTTGGTGAATTTGAATCAATTCGGATCGAGTTTGGTAGGAAATGAGACAATTAGTCTTTTTAATAAAGGATTAGTTTGAAAAAGTCAACCGGACGTTGACTTGTGAGTTAGAGGGCTCGAAATTGAATTTCGGTGGTTTGGTTAGCTTCGGGGGATGGTTTGTGACTTAGGAGTGCGATCGGAATTGAATTCGGAGGTCCGGTGTAGAAATAGGCTTGAATTGGCGAAGGTTGAATTTTGGCGAATTCCGGTTGTTAGGCGAGATTTTGATCCGAGGGTTGGAATGGAATTCCGAGAGTTGCAGTAGCTTCGTTAGATGATTTTGGATATGTCCACAAATTTTCAGGTCATTCGGACGTCGTTTGGTCAGTTTTTTGATTGAATGAGAATTTTGAAAGTTTTAGTTTAACTTAGGCTTGAATCCGTCGTGATTTGATGATTTTTTTATTGATGGACGTGTTTTGATGATTGGAACAACTTCGTATGATGTTTTGGAGTAGGTTGGTATATTTGGTCGAGGTCCCGGGGGCCTCGGGGTGATTCCGAGTGGTTAAACGGACCATTTTTGGTTATGGAACATAGCAGATTTTCTGCTGGAGTGTTGCAGGTACGTTGGTCATCGCGTTCGCGTAGGGAGCAACGCGAACGCGTAGAGGAAAATTGGAGCCCTGGAATTTTTGCCTTCGCTTTCGCGAAGTGGAGGCCGCGTTCGCGAAGCTTTGGCATTTTAGCCATCGCGTTCGCGGGAGGATGAGTCGTGATCGCGTAGAAGGGCCTGGGAGCCCAGACTATTAAGGCATCGCGTTCGCGTAGAAGAAGGGGTGCTGGGCATCGCGTTCGCGTAGGTAGTGTCGCGTTCGCGTAGAGCATTTTGGGTTTTCGGAAGATTGGCCTTCGCGTTCGCGTGAGGGAGGCTGCGAACGCGATGAAGGAAAGTCAGGCCTGGACAGAATGTTTTAAGGACATTTCCCCAGCGACCCAACTCATTTCTTCCTCCATTTTAAGCATCTTGGGGCATTTGGACGGGAAGTAAGAAGGTTTCGACTAAGAATTGATTGGAGGTAAGTTTTATGAGTTAAATACATGTTTTTATCGAAATATTATCCATGGAATTCATGAAAACATAGTAAAATTCTAGGAAATTAGGGCTTGGAGCAAAAACTTTAAATTTAGGATTTGAGGGGCCATTTGTGGTCCGAATTGGGAGTTCTTGGTATGTACGGACTCGTGGCGAGACGAGGATTCCGGAAATGTGAATTTCAGAATTTTTCGGGACGTGGGCCCGGGGCTCGGGTTTTGCCAATATCGTGTTTTTGAGTATTTTTTCGAATTCTTTCGATTGGGTTACGTCCCATTAGCACATTATAATGTATTCCTTATGGTTTTCAGCAGATTCGACGCGCGAAGAGGTTAATTCAAGAGGAAAAGGCATAGCGGACTAATCCCGTGGCCGGTTTGAGGTGAGTAATAGATGTAGATGATGATCTGAGGGTTTGAAACCCCGGTATATCACACTGTGACGCTATATTGAGGCGAGACACGTACTCTACAGCGAGTGCGGGGTCGATTGTGATCGAGGACTGTGGCCTAGTCCGACCGAGCGATGTTGTACTATATCATGGGCTAGAAATTAGCCGGTAAACCTCCTACTTGGATGGTTATGGACATAATTGGGGCTGTATGCCGACTATTTGAATCCCGTAGGGATTGTTATCATTGTTCCCATAACCTATAGCATGTTTCATGATATTAGTCCTGAATTGAATATTGTATCAAAATGGCTAATAAATTCTAAGGTTTTAAACACCTAATTATAATTCAGATAATTGAAACTAAAAATGGTAAGTATGATTGTGCATTCATGACTATGCATGGATCGGGCTGCACGCCGCAGCGGGTGTGATATTGATATTGTGCTTGGGCTGTAGGAGCCCCTCCGGAGTCTGAACCCCCCACAGTGAGCGCCGGGTACCCATGGATCGGGCTACGCGCCGTAGCGGTCATGTGCATTGCATTCATGCATTGATATATATATATCTGTTGTATCTGTCTCTACTTGTTATTACACTGTGAAGTGTGTAGGAGTACTGGTTTTAGCTTCACATTGTTGTATATTGGGAATTCCTACTTTCAAGTCATTATACATGTCTATTACCACTGAGTTGGAAGTACTCATTTTACTCCCTGCACCATGTGTGCAGATCCAGGTACTTCGGGAGCTAGCTGAGCTTTCTGCTGACTTCAGAGTTTCATTCGGAGTTGTCGAGGTAGCTGCCTGACGTCCGTAGAACCCGACTTCTCCCCTATCCTTTGTTATTTGTCTTTCCGCATATTTCAGACTATGTAATATTACAGTTTTATTATACTATACTATTAGAGGCTCTAGACTCATGACCCTTAGGTCTTTGGGAGGTTTCTCAGTATTATTGGGATATTTGGCTTGTATATTTTATCAGCTAAAACTTATAAATTCACTACTGTTAAAGATATTTAAATTAAATTGGTTTTGAGCTTCATGCTCGGATTGAGAATGTAAATGGTCGGGCTTGCCTAGCAATTGGTTGGGCGCCATCATGACCGGGTTTGGGGTCGTGACAAGTTGGTATCAGAGCCTAGGTTACTAGGCCTTATGAGTCATGAGCCGGTTAGTAGAGTCTCGCGGATCGGTACGGAGACGTCTGTATTTATCCTCGAGAGGCAGCAGAACTTTTAGGAAGTACTTCATATTCTTGAACTCTTATCGTGCGGCTTTGTTGTTTCAAGAACTAAATTGTTGTATTCTGTTCTCTCGCAGATGGCGAGAACTCGTGCTACCGGACGTGGTGGACGACCACCTTTGCCACCTGTTAGAGGCCGTGGACGCGGCCGTGGTCGTGGTAGAGGTAGGGCAGCAAGGGCAGTACCAGTTGACCCACCAGTTGCCCCTATTCAGGACCAGCCTCCAGCTGTTGATGCTCCAGCAGCACCTGTTCAGGCACCGGCAGTGCCTAATGTGATTCCTGGTCTTCAGGAGGCTTTAGCTCAGATCTTATCTGTCTGCACTGGTCTGGCTCAAGTAGTTTCAGCCTCTACTGCCGCAGCTACTTCTCAGATCGGGGGTGATCATTAGACTCCCGCAGCTCGCACACCCGAGCCAGTCGTACAGGGATTACAGACACCGGAGGCAGCCCCAGCTCAGCCAGTTGCACCGGTTGCCCCAGTTGCGCCAGTCGCACCAGCTCCAGGGTATATTGTTTCGGTGATGCCAGACGACGAGCAGCGTCGACTTGAGAGGTTTGATAGACTCCAGCCTCCGAAATTCAGCGGTACTGAGGGCGAAGATGCCCAGGAATTTTTGGACAAGTGTCAGCGGATGCTTCGCACTGCAGGGATATTAGAGTCTAGTGGGGTGTCTTTTATCACCTTTCAGTTCTCAGGGCCAGCATTTACATGGTGGGAGGAGTTTGAGAGGCGTAGGTCTGCAAGAGCAGTACCCCTTACTTGGCAGCAGTTCTCCACTCTCTTTTTGGAGAAATATGTGTTGCAGTCTCGCAGAGAGGAGCTGCGCCGACAGTTTGAGTGGTTGATCCAGGGAGATATGACAGTGACCCAGTACGAGTTGAAGTATACGCAGTTGGCTAGACATGCTACATGGATGATCCCGACAGATCGAGAGAGGATCAGGAGGTTTGTGGATGGCCTCAACCATCCGATTCGTATTTTGATGGCTAGAGAGAGGATGGCAGCAACTTCTTTTGAGGAGGTAGTTGATATGGCTCGTCAGATTGAGACAGATCGTCGCCGGGAGCGTGATGAGAGAGAGGCTAAGAGGCCTCGAGGTTCAGGTAGCTACAGCGATGCTCCATTTAGGGGCCAGTTTCAGCAGAGCAGAGGTCGTTCTTTCAGGCCTCCTCAGACAGGTCGCCCAGAGTACAGTGGGGCTTCTTTCGGCCGTGGCCGTCAGGGATATCAGCAGGGCCAGCCTTCACTCAGTGCCCTTCCAGCTCAGAGTTCTACTCCTGCCTCTTCAGCCCAGGGTTCATCTGCAGCGAGGGGTTCTCGTCAGTTCTCTTCTCCAGCACCGGGCAGATGTTATGAGTGTGGTGAGTTTGGCCACCTGAGGAGACAGTGTCCCCGGTTTCATCATAGTCGGTCTCAGCAGAGGGATCAACCCTCCTCTTCTACTCCATCTATTTCAGCACCATCCCTGTCAGGTAGGGGTGGGGGTCAGTCAGCTAGGGGTCGCCCTAGGGGTGGAGAACAATCTAGTGGTGGTCAGGTACGGTTCTATGCACTTCCAGACAGGAGAGACGCTGTTGCATCCGACGCGGTTATCACAGGTATTATCTCAGTTTGCCACAGGGATGCTTCTGTTTTGTTTGATCCCGGGTCTACATACTCCTATGTGTCTTCATATTTTGCTCATCATTTGGGTACGACCCGTGGTTTTCTTGCCTTGCATGTGCATGTATCTACCCCGGTGGGTGATACTGTTATTGTGGATCACGTATATCGATCCTGTCTTGTTACTATTGGGGGTCTGGAGACCCGAGCTGATTTGCTGTTGTTGGGTATGGTAGACTTTGATGTGATTCTGGGTATGGATTGGCTATCTCCGTACCATGCTATTCTGGACTGTCATGCCAAGACAGTTACATTGGCCATTCCGGGTATTCCGAGGATTGAGTGGCAAGGTTCGACGGATTATGTTCCCAGCAGGGTGATTTATTTCTTAAAGGCCCAACGGATGGTTGGGAAAGGATTTTTATCATATTTAGCATTTGTGAGAGATGTTGGAGCTGAGACTCCTAATATTGATTCTGTTCCAGTTGTGCGGGATTTTCCAGATGTGTTTCCAGCAGACCTGCTGGGCATGCCGCCGGACAGGGATACTGATTTTGGTATTGATCTGGTGCCGGGCACTCAGCCCATCTCTATTCCTCCTTATCGTATGCACCTGCTGAGTTAAAAGAATTGAAGGAGCAACTTCAGGAACTCCTAGATAAGAGGTTCATTCGCCCGAGTGTGTCACCGTGGGGTGCACCGGTCTTGTTTGTTAAGAAGAAAGATGGCTCAATGAGGATGTGTATTGATTACAGGCAGCTGAACAAGGTGACAGTAAAGAATAAGTATCCTCTACCGCGCATTGATGATTTGTTTGATCAGCTCCAGGAAGCAAGGGTATTCTCGAAGATTGATCTTCGTTCAGGCTATCACCAGCTGAAGATTAGGGATTCTGATATTATGAAGACAGCTTTCAGGACAAGATATGGGCATTATGAATTTCTGGTTATGTCTTTTGGGCTAACTAATGCTCCAGCCGCATTCATGCATTTGATGAACAGTGTGTTCCAGCCGTATCTGGATTCCTTTGTCATTGTGTTTATTGATGACATTCTGGTGTACTCGCGTAGCCAGGAGGAGCATGCTCAGCATTTGAGAATTGTATTGCAGAGATTGAGGGAAGAGAAGCTTTATGCAAAATTTTCCAAGTGTGAGTTCTGGCTTGGATCTGTGGCTTTTCTGGGACACGTGGTGTCTAGTGAGGGTATTCAAGTTGACCCAAGGAAGATAGAGGCGGTGCAGAGTTGGCCTAGACCGTCTTCAGCTACAGAGATCTGGAGTTTTCTAGGCTTGGCAGGGTATTATCGCCGGTTTGTCCAGGGATTTTCATCTATTGCTTCGTCCTTGACCAAGTTGACGCAGAAGGGTGAACCGTTCGTATGGTCGGATGAGTGCGAGGAGAGCTTTCAGAAGCTCAAGGCAGCGTTGACCACAGCTCCAGTGTTAGTATTGCCATCAGAATCAGGTTCCTACACCGTGTATTGTGATGCTTCGAGAGTTGGGATTGGTTGTGTGTTGACGCAGGAGGATAAAGTTATTGCATATGCTTCTCGACAGTTGAAGTCTCATGAGAAGAACTACCCTGTTCATGATTTAGAGTTGGCTGCCATAGTTCATGCCTTGAAGATTTGGAGGTACTACTTGTATGGAGTATCCTGTGAGGTATATACTGATCATCGCAGTCTTCAGCACTTGTTCAAACAGAAGGATCTAAATTTGAGGCAGCGGAGGTGGCTTGAATTGCTCAAGGATTATGACATCACTATTTTATATCATCCGGGGAAGGCCAATGTAGTGGCCGATGCTTTGAGCCGAAAGGCGGTTAGTATGGGCAGCTTGGCATATATTCCAACTGGGGAGAGACCCTTTGCAGTTGATGTTCAGGCGTTGGCCAATCAGATGGTGAGACTGGATATTTCAGAGCCGAGCCGGGTGTTGGCTTGTGTTATTTCTCGGTCTTCCTTATATGACCGCATTCGTGAGCGCCAGTATGATGATCCACATTTGCTTGTCCTTAAGGACAGAGTCCAGCATGATGATGCCAGGGATGTGACTATCGATAGTGACGGTGTGTTGAGGATGCAGGGCCGAATTTGCGTGCCCAATGTGGACGGGCTTCGGGAGCTGATATTGGAGGAGGCCCATAGCTCGCGGTATTCTATTCATCCAGGTGCCGCGAAGATGTATCAAGATTTGAGGCAGCATTACTGGTGGAGAAGAATGAAGAAGGATATTGTGAGTCATGTAGCTCGATGTCTCAACTGTCAGCAGGTCAAATATGAGCATTAGAGGCCTGGTGGTGTGCTTCAGCACATGGATATTCCCGAGAGGAAATGGGAGAGGATTACTATGGACTTCGTGAGTGGTCTCCCTCGGACAGCACAGAAGTTTGATTCAGTTTGGGTTATTGTGGATAGGCTGACCAAGTCCGCGCACTTCATTCCTGTATGTACTACATATTCTTCGGAGCGGCTAGCGGAAATTTTTATTCGAGATATTGTGCGGTTGCATGGGGTCCCAGTTTCTATTATATCAGATAGAGGTACTCAGTTTACTTCTCAGTTCTGGAGGACTTTTCAGCGAGAGTTGGGTTCACAGGTAGAGTTGAGCACAACATTTCATCCTCAGACGGACGGACAGTCCGAGCGTACCATTCAGATATTGGAGGATATGTTGCGTGCCTGTGTTATTGACTTTGAAGGTTCTTGGGCTGATTACTTGCCTCTTGCGGAGTTTGCGTACAACAACAGTTACCAATCCAGCATTCAGATGGCGCCATATGAGGTTTTATATTGGAGACGGTGTAGATCTCCGGTTGGTTGGTTTGAGCCCGGCGAGGCTAAGCTATTGGGGACAGAATTGGTCCAGGATGCCTTAGATAAGGTGAAGGTGATTCAGGAGAGACTTCGCACAGCTCAGTCGCGCCAGAAGAGTTATGCGGACCGGAAGGTCCGAGATGTATCTTATTCGGTAGGCGAGAAGGTTTTGCTGAAGGTTTCGCCTATGAAGGGCGTCATGTGATTTGGAAAGAAAGGGAAGCTGAGTCCAAGGTTCATTGGTCCTTTTGAGGTACTCAGGAGGATTGGAGAGGTGGCCTATATGCTTGCTTTTCCACCCAGCCTATCGGGAGTTCATCCAGTATTTCATGTGTCTATGCTCCGGAAATATGTTGGGGACCCATCTCATGTGTTGGACTTCAGTACAGTTCAGTTAGATGATGACTTGACTTATGATGTAGAGCCTGTAGCTATTTTGGGTCGACAGGTTAGGAGATTGAGGTCTAAAGATATAGCTTCGGTGAAGGTGCAGTGGAGAGGTCGGCCCGTGGAGGAGGCTACTTGGGAGACCGAGCGGGAGATGCAGAGCAGATATCCTCACTTGTTTGAGACTCCAGGTATGTCTCTTGACCCGCTCGAGGACGAGCATTTGTTTTAGTTGGGGAGAATGTGACGACCCGACCCGTCGTCACGTGAGTTACCGCCCCGTTTTCCCCGTTAAATGCTCATTCATATTTCAATATGTGTATTTGGTGAATTTGAGTCAATTCGGATCGAGTTTGGTAAGAAATGAGACAATTAGTCTCTTTAATAAAGGATTAGTTTGAAAAAGTCAACCGGACGTTGACTTGTGAGTTAGAGGGCTCGGAATTGAATTCCGGTGGTTTGGTTAGCTTCGGGGGATGATTTGTGACTTAGGAGTGCGATCAGAATTGAATTCGGAGGTCCGGTGTAGAAATAGGCTTGAATTGGCGAAGGTTGAATTTTGGCGAATTCCGGTTGTTAGGCGAGATTTTGATTCGAGTGTCAGAATGGAATTCCGAGAGTTGCAGTAGCTTCGTTAGGTGATTTTGGATATGTCCGCAAATTTTCAGGTCATTCGGACGTCGTTTGGTCGGTTTTTGGATTGAATGAGAATTTTGAAAGTTTTAGTTTAACTTAGGCTTGAATCCGTCGTAATTTGATATTTTTGTATTGATGGACGTGTTTTGATGATTGGAATAAGTTCGTATGATGTTTTGGAGTAGGTTGGTATGTTTGGTCGAGGTCCCGGGGGCCTCGGGGTGATTCCGAGTGGTTAAACAGACCATTTTTGGTTATGGAACATAGCAGATTTTCTACTGGAGTGTTGCAGGTACGTTGGTCATCGCGTTCGCGTAGGGAGCAACG